CTTAAAAACAATATTTCATAATACTAAATCACCAATCAAACTTATATTTTTTCTTTATAATTTACTGCTTGTAATTTCATAACTTATCTTAACTGTTTTTATCATTTTTTTAAATATAAATTTAAATACCCAGGCCACTTTGATCAAAGAGGCTGTTTATAGTTTATTATATGATTTATCATACCACTTTAATCGTGGAGACTTTTGATTTTGTTGTTGTTACAAATCCTTTCAATCCAATTAATCTGGAACATAAACTTTAACAAGCAAGGCCTTTGAAGCAACAAGTTAAGAACTGTACAATCCGGGTATGAGATTTGAACACTGTATTTATCACTTACAATGAGTGCTCTACATACACATTAGAGGTGTTCACTATGGAAAAAAAACCACCCAAATTGTATTTTTTACCATTCTAGTGTTTGTATACAGCGTAAAAATTTTTATTATCACATTTTAATAACTATTCTCGAGCCCCCTCAAAGCCCCAAGCAATAAGTCTTAATTTCCTGTATGTAATAGTAGCAAACTTTTACATTGATTACAAATTTCATAAACAAGCAAATTAATATTATAATATTGAGACAATTTAATATGTAATGTAAATATGTAATATTAATATCGTTGTGTTTTGTTTTATTGAAATAAATTAAAACTGATATGATGACAAGAAGTGGTAAAGTTGTACAAACTAAACTCAAGTCTTTGCCAGCCACTTCTAGTTATTTGTCCGATACAACTAACCAGTATTCACCATCTTTATCATCATCAACAAGACTTGTTATTCCTGCTTCTACTAGTTTTAGTCAATTGGACACCCATCACCATTAATAACTGGTTCTAAACTACCTGATTGAGGTAGGTTTTAAATTATTTTTTTTTTTATGACGCAATGAAGAAAATGTCCATAATCATGTAACAAATCAAGAGATGGGCTATATAGTTATCGATGCAGTTGTAACTTTGTGGAACATGGCACACATAAAGATGTAACTTGATGGAATATGACACACATCAAGACAAAGACAAAATCGAGACAAAATTCAATGTTAGAACTTTTGTGTCAAGAATCACAAAAGTGATGCTGGTGAAAAACGTGTTTACTACTTGGCCAAGTTGGATAATCTTTTTAATATTGGATCACCTAATGCCATACAGGAAATCATGAAATCCAGGCTTCTGACTTTCCAAAAGAAAAATGATGATGTTCTATTTAAATAAAAAAACAGACAGAAAGGCAAACATGGGCGAACATGACAAAATCTTTCAGATTAAAGCAAGAATACTAAAAGTCAGTCATAATTGGATAATCATCTATAAAGAAAATGAAAGAGAAGAAAAAGAAGGTAGGCGGTATCATCATTATAATGAGGCATGGAAGTTAATGACAAAGAACAGAATATTAAGGAAAATATTGATGTTGCCGAAGAAGATGTTGGTTTAGGGTGGGACTGTGACTTAAATTATCAACCTCCTACGGAAAGACAATCAGAATTCGTTACTCTTCACCTATCCAAAAGAATTATGCAATGTGATAGAATCACTTCTGCAGCAGATAAGCTGGATTTGTCTGATAATACAACTACTATGATTGTCTGCTGTAATTAAAGCTGCTGTAGGAAACTTGGACGATTTTGATATCTCCACATTGACATCTCATCAAAGTAGAAAGTCAAATCAACAGAGGATTTATAGAAAATGAGAGGCTCAAACCATATCAGTTTGGTGCCCTTAACTGAGATTAATTTAATCTCAGTTAAGAAAGAAAATTAATTCAGGGTCAAAATAGATATAGCAGCCAAACTCTTGGAAACCCCAGTACTTGAAAATTTTTACCTTGGTAAGTCAGTTTTTCATAAAATAACTTATCAAACAGGTTTTTCAAATCTTTAGGGACCTAAATCTTACACATTGTTCAGTATTTTTGGCTTCAAAGAGATTGGCTTGCTAAACCAATTGAATAGTAGAAAGAGCAACCAGGATACCAAAAAGCTAAAAAGTTTGTTTGTAGGGTAAAAGTTGTAAATGATACCGCAGAATATGTATCAAAAAACAACTTTTTTTAAACTTGAAATTGTAATAGAGCGGAAAAGTTGCATAATGCTAAAAAAGTAATTGTGTCAAATATAATTTTTTTTTTTATGTATGCAGTTCGCACTAGGGTTTTATTTTTCTCTTACAAAAACATGTTTTCTGATAAAATAAAAAGAACAAATTCTATGCATATACTAGGGTTTAAATATTAAACAATGATTGAGTTAGAAATAGTTACAATTTTAAAAAAAATAATTTTATGTCTTCAGTTGCAGCTAGAGGGCTGGATTTTTACAAAAAAACACAATTTTTATTTAAAACAAAGTAATTTTAATTATGTTGTTGATGCTTTCACTTGTCGTCACTGTTACAATAATGGAATAAAAGTAATTAAAATATAATAAACCAAATGATTTTTGATGATTGGTGATTTTTAAATGATATTAAAAAATGCAAAATGTCACTAATTATGCCATTTATTATCATCACCAACAGCATTATTTACCACAACTTATGTCTATAGTCAAAACATTTATTTAATAAATATTCAGATAAATAGCAAAAAGCACAAGATATAATTTATTAGTTCTGTTTATTAATAAAATAAATTGAAGTCAAAGAAAATTTTAATGGCAAATATGTTTTCTGCTGCAGTAAAACAAGGAAAAAATTTTACTTATCCAATCTTTGGTTCACCAGCAGACTTGGGGGAAAATGTTTTACCAACATAATCATTTTCTGAAAAGAATTTTTTGAAATATATTTTTTACTCAGTTTTATTAGATTAATTATAGTATATTTATAGCGTTTAAAGACGTTTAAAAAAGCTTTTAGTTTAATTATATTTGTTGGGTCTTTTATCCTTAACATTTTCCCTTGAATAAGATTTCAAAATTGAAGTGATTTTATTATTCCTTTAGTAAACCATGGGTTGAATTGACGCTTGTAGCTTTTAATACTAATTTTTTTGAGTGGCACATAACAATCTAACAACAATGTTGTTTGAGAAATAACAACAATAAGAATCTAAAAACAATGTTGTTTGAGAAATAACAACAATGAGAATCTAACAACAATGTTGTTTGAGAAATTAATGATTCAAAACTGGAGTTAACATCGTTTTTCTTGGTAATGTCATTCCAATCAACTTTTATTAATTCAGACTTAAATGATTCTTTATTATAATTTTTAAAGTTCCTGTGGTATATATTATGATTGTGTGGCATAAATAATTTGTTAAAATTAGGGCAAATAAGAAACTGAGGTAGGTGATCAGAAATTGAAATTATTAGATTTCATGAAATAATTTTATTTGTGGTTATATTTGAAAAGATAAATTCAATGATTGTAGCAGAATGTTCAGTAACTCTCGTTAGTAGCGTAAAAAAATGGGCAAATATTATAAGAAGTAAGTATGTTTAAAAACTCAGAAGTTGCAAAGTTAGAGATTGACTGTATCAGATCCATCTTAAAATTGCCAAGTAGAAACACAGATTTATTTTCAGTAGATATTTTTTGGAGAAGAGCAGAAAATTTATTATTGAAGTTGTTTGCATCCATGCTAGGGTGTCTGTATCTTCAATCAACAATAAAATTTGATATTTAAAAAAAAAATTTTTCAACAAAAGTAGATTTTAAATAGTTTGTTAAGTATATAATTAAATCATCTCTTCTTTTATAAATCAGTTTTTTTTGATAATTATAACAAGGTTCTACCGCAAGAAGTTTTGGTTGGTGTGAGCTCAAAATTATAATTTTGAAAAATAATTGAATGTGTGGAAGGAGATTCTTTTTTTAACCTTGTTTTTGTAATTCCAATAATGCTAAAATCAAAACTAATTAATGATATTAATATGTTCAGATCTTCAAAGTGCTTTTGTAAAAAGGTTACATTTAAATGGAAAAAGGACATAGAATTGTTAGAGTTAATAAATTTAGCTCTCATAGAGTTATGAGAGCTAAATTTATTAATGTCATAGTATTGACAATCTACATCAAAAGAGTTTTCCTTATCAGAAACAGTTTTGCTCATCAGAAACTGAAGCATGTGATAAATTTATTAAATTGAGTATAAACTTTCTTCAAATCCGATGCTGGAAAGAGTTTAATTGATAAAGACAAGTCATCAGTTGTAATAATTTTTTTTGTAGAGAAGAGTTGTTTAAATTCATTATCAGATACATCAGTTAATGGAAAGACACAATTTAGTACAATTTATAGACAGCCACGATGAGCGTTTTGAATGTGTTAAATTGTGCCCATGATCATAAAGCCTGCTACATTATGAATGAGTCCAAAACAAACATACATAACATTGAGTTGGATGGCAACTTATACTAACTTTTTTTGTACATGCATACTCCTAGAAAATTAGAGGTCATAGTAAAACTGATAAAGATAAAAAAAGAAAATTTGCCAAATTCAGAAGAAAGCTTGAGGTTGTTATGTTTTAAAAGAGAGGAAAAGAAAATAACAATGAAAAATAATAACGATACAATATTATAAATAGCAATTGTAATAGCAATAATTATAATAGTAATAATACAATATTAAACGAATAGTAATTGTAATAGCAATAATTATAATAGTAATAATACAACAAAAATTGATTATAGATATTATAAAAAAATATAGTTAATGTTTATAATTTCTATAATCAGTTTTTGTTGTTATAATATATATATATTTTTAATGCGGTAGTGGTGTAGTGGTAAGAGTGCTTGTTTTGTAAGCGAGAGGTCCGGAGTTCGACTCCCACCACGTCCCTAGAAGTACCACGCTCAACTTAATTTCTCCGCGCAGCGGTCTTGCTTGTCAAGGTTCGTGTTTTGGAGTTAAAGAGTTAAGAGAGGGTTGTACCACGATTTAAAACAAAAAAAAAAAAAAAGTAGCCTCCTCGACTGTAGTGGCCCCCTCAAGCCTTAGGGAGGTGAATAATTGAATATATTTATATAATATAAAAGTAT